ATTGTGAACAGACCTGTAAGTCCGGCTATTTTATCCACCATGCTGTCACCAAAGCCCCAGTAACCCAACTCAGCTCAGAGACTATGTCCTGTAGAGTCCCACAAACTGTTGCAGTTTCTGATAGAAGCTCAGATTGTCCTGACCTTTCCAAGGTCCCCTCATGCTACCATGACCTTAAAGAGGTTTTTAATAAAACCAAAGCTCTGTCACTGCCCCCTCATCGTCCTTTTGACTGTGCCATCGACCTGCTGCCTGGTGTATCTGGACGATATTTCGATTTTCTCCCCAGATAGTCAGTCTCATGTCATGCATGTCTGCCAAGTTCTCCAGAAGCTTCTTGAGAATCAGTTGTATGTGAAAGCTGAAAAGTGTGACTTCCATGCAACTACTGTCTCCTTCCTGGGCTACATTGTCACCGCCAATCAGGTGCAGATGGATCCATCCAAGGTCAGTGCGGTGGCCAACTGGCCCACTCCTGATAGCAGCAAAAGAGTTCAGCAATTCCTGGGGTTTGCCAACTTTTACCGGAAGTTTATACGCAACTTCAGTTCTGTAGCCGCACCTTTGCATGCTCTCACCTCCTCTAAAGTTTCCTTTCAGTGGACCTCCCAGGCCGAGTCCGCCTTCCAATGCCTCAAGAAAAGATTCACCACGGCACCTGTACTCACTGTTCCCGGATCCCCAGAGACAGTTTGTGGTTGAGGTTGACGCATCCAACGAGGGCATAGGGGCTGTGTTGTCCCAGAGATCCTCTGAGGATAACAGGATGCACCCCTGTGCCTATCTATCGCGTAAGTTGACCTCAGCTGAAAGAAATTATGATGTGGGGAACAAGGAGTTACTAGCTGTCAAAGCAGCATTGGAGGAGTGGAGACACTGGTTAGAAGGGGAGGAGCAACCATTTCTTGTTTGGACTGACCACAAGAATTTAGAATATGATAGGAAAGCCAAGCGACTAAATTCACGTCAGGCCCGGTGGACTCTGTTCTTCAGCAGATTTAACTTCACATTATCTTTTTGGCCCGGTACACAGGTAAGCCAGATGCACTGTCTCGTCTCTTTGAGCCTGAACATAATGCCAAGGAACCAATATCAATCCTTCCACTGAACTGTGTGGTTGGGTCGGTAACATGGCAGATAGAAACAGATGTGAAGCAGGCGAATGTTGTGAGCCCGGCACCCAGCGAGTGTCCAGGCAACCGCTTGTTTGTCCCTGTGTCTTTACGCTTTCAGGTAATCCACTGGGCTCACACGTCCAAGTTCACATGCCATCCGGGCGTCCGACGAACAATGTTTGCCATAAAGCAGCGGTTCTGGTGGCTGGCCATGAAAAAAGAGGTCTCCGAGTACGTGGCGGCCTGTCCAGTGTGTGCCCGGAATAAGACCTCGTCCCAGGCCCAGATGGGTCTGCTCCAGCCCCTCCCAGTGCCCCAGCGACCATGGTCGCACATCTCCATGGACTTTGTGACTGGACTACCGCCCTCCAAAGGTAACACTACCGTCCTGACGGTGGTAGACCGTTTCTCAAAGATGGCACATTTCATTCCTCTGCTCACACTTCCCTCTGCCAAGAAGACGGCAGAGGTCATGTTAACTCACGTGTTCAGAATCCATGGTTTCCCCAGTGACATAGTCTCTGACAGAGGACCACAGTTCATTTCCAACTTCTGGAAGGAGTTTTGCCAGCTCCTCGGCGCCACAGTCAGCTTATCTTCCGGTTATCACCCGCAGTCCAACGGTCAGACAGAGCGCCTGAACCAAGACCTCGAAACTTGCCTCAGGTGCCTTGTGTCCCAGAAGCAGACCACTTGGAGCGATCAGCTTACCTGGGTAGAGTATGCCCACAACACTCTCCCCTCGGCTGCCACGGGTCTTTCCCTTTTCCAGTGTGCTAACGGGTACCAGCCTCCTCTCTTCCCTGCTAATGAGGAAGAAGTCAAAGTTCCATCCGCGCACGCCATGGTCCGGCACTGTCGGCGGGTTTGGGCCGGTGCTCGGCAGGCGCTACTCCGGACCTCGACCCGGATGAAGTCAGTGGCAGATCGTCACCGGCGTGCGGCCCCCCTCTACAGGGCGGGCCAGAAAGCCTGGCTCTCCACCAAGGATCTACCCCTACACGTTCACTCCAAGAAGTTGGCACCGAGGTTTGTGGGTCCTTTCCCAATTTCAAGAGTCATTAACCCTGTCTCTGTGCGCCTCAAACTCCCCAGATCTTTGAGGGTCCATCCCACGTTTCACGTGAGCAAACTCAAGCCAGTTCGAGAGAGCACTCTGGTTCCCGCCTCCAAGCCCCCTCCACCACCCCGGATCATTGAAGGTGGCCCGGTGTACACAGTCAAGAAACTTCTGGCGGTCCGCAAACGGGGCCGAGGACGAAAATTCTTGGTCGATGGGAGGGTTACGGCACTGAGGAGCGTTGTTGGGTCTCCTCAACTTTCATTGTGGACAAGACACTCATCAGTGACTTCTATGATCGTCACCCTGAGCAGCCTGGGCCGTCGGGAGTCGGCCCTAGAAGGGGGGGTACTGTAGTGTCCCGTCAATTATGTTAAGTTTTGTCATGTTTGTGTTCGTCTTGCTCATGTTTGTTTAGTTTATGTTCCACTTCCTGTTTTATTTTGTACTCACCTTGTCTCATTCCAGGTCCCTTTACTTCCTGCACTGGTTCCTTTTCCCGCCATCGTCAGTGTCTGCCCCTGATTGTTTCCACCTGTGCCCACTTACCTCATGTATATATTGTCCTGTCTCCCCTTGTTAGTTGTCAGTTCGTCTTGTTCATTGTCCCAAGAAGCCAGATCCAAACCATTGCTTAAAGAGATTCAGTGTTTTGCCTTTTTCCCTCCATGAGAGCGCTTTACTTTTGTCATTTTGTTATTTCCTCTAAAAGAGTGATTTAGTTTTTTGCAAGTAAAGATTATTTTTCTTCAAACCTTTTTTTGTCTCTGGGTTGTGCATTTGAGTCCTCCAAGCTATTGAGTCAAGGTTCCTAACAGTATCACATTGTTACATTTGTCGGAGACTGAAAGTTAAACCAGCACAGCAGGTTACAACTCCACTACCCAGAGACAGTGACTGAGTCTCCACCTTTTGAAGTAACTGGGGTAGATTTTGCAGGGCCATTGTATGTCAAGTCTAGCGGTCAGGCTAAGAAGGCATATATTGCACTTGTGCTGTCACCAGGGCAGTGCATTTAGAGTTAGTGTCAGATCAGACCACAGACAATTTCCTCTTAGCCTTAAAGAGATTTATAGCAAGACGAGGACTGTGTAAAGTTATTTACTCAGACAATGCTAAAACATTTAAACGAGCAGACCAAGATCTAAAGGAACTATGGAAGTCATTCAAGGGCTCAGAGCTCAGAGTTTTTCACTGACAAGGGGATCACCTGGAAGTTTATTGCCGAGTGAGCTGCTTGGTGGGGCGGCTTCTGGGAGAGACTAGTGAGATCTGTTAAAACATGTTTAAAGAGGGTCATGGGGAAGGCTTCACTGAACTTTGAAGAGCTAACAACAATGCTTTCAGAGGTTGAGGCTGTGTTGAACTCCAGGCCTCTATCCTATGTACACAATGATGCATCAGAGCCTCAGCCACTTACCCCCTCTCACTTCCTGGTGGGGAAAAGACTAACCTCTCTGCCACCAAAAACTTTGCTTCCACCATCTCAGGCAAACAATAGGAGCAGAGAGGACATGAGCCGGAGATGGCGGTACCGGCAGAGACTCTTAACCAGCTTTTGGAACAGCTGGAAAAATGACTACTTGATGGAGTTGAAATCAGCTCACAGGTGTGAAACACCTACACCCACTTTGCTGAAGGTGGGAGATGTCATCCTGATCGGAGAGGACAACACTTCCAGGCAGAATTGGAAAATGGGCAGGATAACAGACCTGTTTCCAGGGAGAGATGGACTCATTCGTTCCTGCGCTGTCCGGACTTCTACGGGCAGTTTGTTGAGGAGACCTGTTCAGTTAATATATCCATTAGAGATAATGAATGGACTGAAAAGTGATGAAAGACTGTTCATCGGGCAGGAGAATGTTGTAACTTTTATTTAAGGCAGTAGAAACATTTGTTTATTTTCTTCTTGATAGAAGTTAAGGGTAAAATGTTTCACAGGAAATGCTTTTATTTTGATGTGCAAGCATGTCGAGTGCATTTTCTCCGTCTTCCACCGTTCTTGTTGGAAACTGTTAAATTCAGTTTGAACAAGATTTTGATTGGTTATTCATTCGAAGCTTCTATTACACAACAAAGGGCGGAGCAGCGAGCCCAGCACCGTCCCGCCAACACGGCACCCAGACCCCACGCAGCATTCTCATCTGTTTGTCATTACTGGTGTCATTTTCTGGTTGCTAACAAACGCCATTGTAACACATAATCACTGATGTTCCGCTGTAACGGTGGTGGACTCATCAGAACAGAGTGGGCGAGCTGACCAATCAGAGCACAGTGGGCTCATAAGGGGGGGGGCAGGAGCTCCAACAAGCCGTTTAGGACAGAGAGTGAATACACAGACTATACAGAGATACTGTATGAGAAACCAATGTGATTTTGGAACATTGAACAATGTAAATCTATTCTAGTAGACCTCAACAATGGAATTATGATCAGTAGAAATGGCCATGACATGGGACCTTTAACTTATTTGAATAGATGTATTAAAATGGCACCAGGAACACATACCGTTATGTTTTATTAACACTTTATCTAAAAGTAATTTTGAAGGTGTATAACCGCGTGTTAGATAAAGCATTAGTTCAGATCATTAAAAACACTATCAAATGTAAATCATAATTTAATTATAATCATGAGCAGTGATTTATTTTACTCAACAGTCATGTGAGTGAAATGTAATATCTGTGAGGTTTCTGCAGTTAGTGTAAATGCATGGATGTTATAATTACAATACTTTCAGAGGTTAACAATGATATGAACCATTGTTGACATATACACTAAGTGTACTTGGTGTAGACACAGGTATTTGTGTTCCTGCAGCTCACCTGTCAGTCTGTTCTCCATCAGGTCCTGCTTCGTCTCCACGATGATCTGAGGCAGGCGAGACAGAGGGACACACACATCTGTAGCGTAAGCCTGTAGGACGGACGGACACACACACACACACACACACGCACACATTTTATGACAGCTTCTGGTGCAGACGTATGTTCAAAGGGGATACGACCCCATAACAGATGAAACGCACCATGACCTTGATTAGAATTACAGATTTCTTATTGTTTGTAATTGTTGAAAACATTTGGGATAGTGGAGGTACATAACTCAAAAAAGTAAATAGCATTTGCCTGTTCTTTGGACATTGACATGAGGAAATGTTACATATGAAACCTTTAAGTGGCAGAGGCCTCCTCACCTTGCAGCCGGGCCTCAGGGCCAGAGCAGCGTACCAGGCATCATGGCGAGCCTTCCACAGCCGCTCCCGTGATCCTGCATCTCGAGCCCACTGGAAATCTGATCCACCGTTACTCTGAGTGATGTCCTCTGTAGAAACACACACACAAATACACACGCAATATTTAATTTTTTTAAACTGCAAAAAAGTCTCATATGTTATTTGGCTGACACTTCTATCCAAAATCAACTAACACACACTAGAATACCGTAGACCTACGGGAGACATTCGGGGGGGTTGAGTATCTTGCCTCAGGACACTTGGACACAGGGTGACCAGGTGTCCAGCTTTGTGCGGGACTGCACAGCATTTTTCCCGTGTCTCACAAATTGAGACAATGTCCCGTATTTGATTGACAGTCGCTCAGAAAGTTGAAACTTTGCTTTTGTCCAATGGCTGTTGAGAAAGTGTTCAAATGTAGTTTTTTGGCAGGAGACTTTGTTCAGATTTAGTTTGAAATTATGTTGACCCTAAACAAGAAACGTATCCTAGCAGTAATAAAGGATGTTTTTTTATTACAGTAAATGATAGAGAACTGTTCAATTTCCATAGTAGGCTACTGCTGATAACTATATAATATTGGGACTGGGGAACACAAATATCTACCACCACATTTTCATGAAATAATTAAAAAAGCAATAAATGAATATTGTGGTAACAGATCAGCGGCTAAAATCAATATTTATTTTCTCCATGCTGCATGACTCGAGCATCCTGTCTGTGTGATGCATTACAAGATCACACCTAGATATTTCATAATTCTGTTAACGTTACTTATTTACAAGTAAAAATTCCTAATTTCATTAATATTCATAATGAATGTAGAGGTCAATTGTATTAAAATGTAGGTTTCTGTCCAAGAGCAGTCCTGTATGACTTCTTACCTGTGTGTAGGGTGTGTGTGTGTGTGTGTGTGTGTGTGTGTGTGTGTGTGTGTGTGTGTGTGTGTGTGTGTGTGTGTGTGTGTGTGTGTGTGTGTGTGTGTGTGTGTGTGTGTGTGTGTGTGTGTACCCTCACACACCAGCGGTGAGCACCTGTTCCTCCAGGCTTCGCTCCGAGCCGTGGAACTCCAGGAAGAGGGTGGGGCTCACAGCGTAGGATAAAGAGCTGAACCTGTTACAGGCATCCATCATCACATCGTCCAGGAACTCTGCGCACGTGCGCACGCGCGCGCACACCCACACCCACACACACACACACACACACACACACACACACACACACACACACACACACACACACACACACACACACACACACACACACACACACACACACACACACACACACACACACACAGATGTCAGTGTGATGCATCTAACCAGGTCATTCTTCTGACATCTGTAAACTTTACTAATGGGTAAAGACACATTTTTCAAATTCCAATAATTGATATTGATTTAATTTCTCACACGTGTATTCTATTATCGTCATGCAGGAAGCTTCTCAGAGCGGGCTCAATAAAGTTGACTCTTTGCCTTCTTTAAAAGCAGTTCTCCCACACATGTTCACTGTCTCTTCATCTCTTAATGGCTGCTGTATAACAGCTTATTGCAGGAGGGACACATTAACATGGCTGACACTTCACACATATTTTAGCCTTCAGTGTTTTATATGCGTTCCCCTACAGTTTATTTGTATAAAACAGATCTTCAGTCCTGCCACTGGCTGTGAGGAAAGAGGAGATTATTGAAGAAATTAACTGAAAACTTGCCCAAACTATTTAGTCATAGCTCCTCGACAATCTTTATCACACTCAAAATATCAACCATCCCAATGAAAGTTTATTACATTGCATTTTACTGTGTCTGTACTCACAAGTACAAGTACTCAGATCTTGTACTTGAGTAAAAGTAGAAGTACTCAGATCTTGTACTTGAGTAAAAGTAGAAGTACCAGAGTGAAGGAATACTCTGTCACAGTAAAAGTCCTGCATTCAAAATGTTCCTCAAGTAAAAGTAGAAAAGTATGATCATCAAAATATAGTGAAAGTAGCGACAGTAAAAGTAGTCGTTGTGCAGATTGGTCCATTTCAGAATAATATATATGATATGTTTTATAATGATTGATCATGAAAGTGTTCTCAAAGCTGGTGAAGGTGCAGCTAGTTTGAATGACTTTGTATACTGCAGGGTAGCTGGTGGATTTACTCCAGGTGGAACTAAAGTCTGATTTAACACTTGATTAGATTTCACATCATTCATCCACATCTGTGAAGTAACTAAAGGTATTAATACATGTAGAGGAGTAAAAGTACACCATTTAGTTTCTGAGAAAATACATTTTTAAAAAAACATTTCTGAAATGTTTCTGATTTACCTAAGAGAGGTATCAAATCTGATAACATCACAGATCAAATCTCTCATTTACAGCGTGTCACTCTTAAATGAGACTGCTAATTATCATTACGCTTAACATTAGCCGCCTTTAGCTTAGCGGTGGTGATGTGAGGTCATGTGACCGTGATGTGGTTCCTTTATAGCCTAATGTTGATTTGTACATCTGCCACTGAAAAGTCATAAAGTGGTGTTAATGTGTGGAGATTATACTGCTGATTATTCTGCTGAACAAAACGTGTAAGTATTATAAACGTGTGTTTGCCACAGAGCTTAGTTTCTGCAATATTTTGAAATCCAATGGAAAGATCCCATTGCTTTTTGTGGAGGGAGCCCTGGGGATGCTAACTTCAAGGTCGGCCCACATCATCACTGCCTCACTCTATACTGCTTATAGCAACTAAACCTGAAGTCATGTGACCATGAGGTAGTTATATAATAGTATAATGATTTTAATTCCGGAGATTGCTTAAATGCCTAAACGATCATAACAGTGGTGTTAATATGTGGAGATTTTCACATTTGTAGGTATTATAAAAGTGTGTTTTCCACAGATCTTATTTTCTGCAAACATCACATTGCTTATGTGGACGGGTCTCTTGAGTGTGGATGAGGGGCTCCCTCCTCACCGATGCGGGCGATGGGCACCCCCGCCTGGAGGATCTGCACCGTGCTGTCCACAGCGGCCTGCACCGAGGGGAAGGAGCACACGGCCGACACCATGGCCTCTGGGATGCCGTACAGGCGCAGGGTTGCCTTGGTGATGATCCCCAGGGTGCCCTCCGACCCAACCAACAGGTTGGTCAGGTTGTACCCGGCGGCTGTCTTCCTGAACAATGACACAGACAGAAAAGAAGGGTAAGACTGTTTAAGATGCACTGGGCTATGTCGCATATTTGTGGGTGAAAATCTCTGAGGTGCACCTGGGGCGCCGCCCCCTCCCAGCCGTGTGTAGGACCGTCCCATCAGCCAGCACCACCTCCAGGTTCAGAACGTTCTCCCTCATGGTCCCATAACGCACTGCGTTGGTACCGGACGCACTGGTGGCCGCCATGCCACACAGAGAGGCATCGGCCCCGGGGTCTGAGGACATAAAGGAACATTAGTGGTGTTTTTTAACAGAACATTGAAACCAGCTATAATCCTGTCACACATCTCTAGACGCTTGACCTACATTTTGAAAAGTGAACTGTTTTTGAAGTGTAGTCTTTTTCCCACCTATCCTGACTATGTTTTTTATAAAGTTGGAACACACTTTGGGCTCGAGATTTCTTTCTCAATATCACCCCCTGCTGGACGTGTACATTAAAACTACTTTAATGTCAGCAGGAAACTAATTGGAAAAATGGTTTTATCTTTTCCACACAGAACTTTTGGCTACTTCTGAATCCAGGGACATGTGGGAACTTGATTCAAATCTAAAGTCCTGTCACTACAGCGGAGGGATTTGTGTTTCGGGGCTTTACAGAACATCAGTGCAGATTTAGCTCTCCATGCTACTATACCGTTTGATTTTATATAACTAGCCATGACATTTTAAATGCTGGTGTGACCAGGCCTGTGTTCCACTCACTGAACCAAAAGATCTGAGTGTGACTGACCAACAGGAAACCACAGGCCGGTGTCTCTCAGGTAGGAGTTGAGGGCCTTGCGGGTCACACCGGGCTCCACCGCCACATCAAAGTCCTCCGGGTGGAGGTCCAGAACCTGGTCCATGTTCCTCAGACTGAAACACACGCCACCCTGAGGGCAGGAAGAAGACCCAATGTGACTGCCTTTACTATTCTACTCCAGTTAGAAAATAAGATCTTTTGCAAACAAACATTTATAATACTTACACGTTTTGTTCAGCAGAATTATATACACTTGTTAACACTACTTTATGATTTTTGAAGTGTAAATGCTATCGATAGAAGTAAAAAGCTAACATTATGCTATAAACAAACTACAAGACTGTCACATGGGTTCACGTAAACACCGCTAAGATAAAGGCTAATGTTCGGTGTGATGAGGTTTAGTGGTCTCATTTAGCCATTTGTTTAGTAACTGTAACCAGACAGAGACACACACACACACACACACACACACACACACACACACACACACACACACACACACACACACACACACACACTTCAGGGTCTTCCTCTCTCTCTCACCTTGACTGCACTAACCCCTCCCTCCAGACCGGTTCCAGTGCCAAAGGGGATGATGGGAAGGTTGTGCTGGTGGCAGACCTTGGCCAGGGCGCTGACCTCCTCCACACAACGAGGAAACACCACCACATCTGGAGGACAGCATCTGCACCGCATCACACAAACACATTCTCCATATCTCTCCACTTAACTATTTTATAAGGGGTCACAAGCCAAGAAGAGGAAACCACTGGTTAAATATTCAACGATTTGTTGTATTTGATATAACATTAGCTTACTCTGAAATGTAGGTACAATCTGCAGCAGTCAGATAAATGGAGTTAATCGTACAGTTTCTCTGAAATGTAATGGAGTATATATCTGTATCTATCAACCACTGGTATTCTTACCTTTTTTTATTCTAACACAACTATCTTTTTGCTATACATTTTGTGGTATTGAAACATGACTGCCTTTAGATATTATGTGAGTGTGACAGGGACTGACCTGTGTATCGACTCGTCCCTGCCGTGTTGTTCTCTCACAGCTGCACCAAATGAGACGCCACCCTCTCCACATATAGACCTGAGAGCAGAGAGCACGCTGCCCACAGCAGCACTCTATGCACACACACACACACACACACACACACACACACACACACACACACACACACACACACACACACCACACACACACACACACACACACACACACACACACACACACACACACACACACACACACACACACACACACACACACACACACACACACACACACACACACACACACACACACACACACACACACACACACACACACACACACACACACACACACACACACACACACACACACACACACACACACACACACACACACACACACACACTTTATTTGTATAATTTAATGGCATGTCTTAGAAGAACTACTTGGGAAAAACAGAATGTAGCAGTGGGATATTTTCACATTTACATTTTTGAGTTTAGGGTTTATTTAGACTAACCACATTAGGGAATTGTCCAAAAATTGACTTCTACCAGAAATAAAATGAAGTACTTTCAGAGTCCCCTCCATTGTAGGCTACATAATGCATGTTTTTCTGCTATCTTTGACGAGTGATACAAATACAATGTTACCATTAGTTCTTAATGAAATTGAGACTGTTTAAGATAAGATAAGATAGAGCTTTATTGTCTCCCTTAGGAGAAATTTGTCTTGGGCATCGAGATAATACACATAAAACATTCAGGTCAATCAGTCATAGATACAGAACAGAGATCACATATCACATGGCAAAGAAACAAACAAGAAATATACAGGTACAGCACAGTTTGACTTTGTATTAGTTACCCTACTACTACATTGAAGTACTTTTACTGTGTATTCTTTTAGTAATACTCTGTCAAAGTCCCCTGCTGAGAACAACATCAAGCCACTTCTGCTAAGTTTGATGAGGGAATTATTTTTTGTTGCCATTAGTTTTTCGTGAGATTGATCCTGTCGGACTCAGTACTACTGAAACTACCCCCCACAAGTACTATGAAGTACTTACTGTGTACTTTTCCTGTACTCCTCTGTCAATGTCCCCTCCTGAGAACAAGAATGCATGTTTCTCTGCTATTTTGAATCAGCGTTAAAAAACATTTCTTCATGAGACTGATATTGTTGGACAGAGTATTTTAAGAGGATGGTAGACTTGATATCAGCAATACTTCCAGTCAGTACTCCGGCAGCAGCATTTTTAACCCTTGGAAAGTCTTTAGAGTCTGGCCTGGATAGCTGGTCACAACTATCCTTCAGCACACTGACACACCCTTGTGACTCTGGTTGGCCTCTTATGATGCTGCTGTCTTTTAAATAGGATTATTTCTCTGCCCCTGGTTCATTCCTCTCAGAGTTTCTTCCATCAGTCCCAGTCATTGCATGTCAGTCAATAGAGCTTCGTTTTTTTGTGAGTGAAGGCCAGAGCTAAATTATAGAGTGTTTGATTGTGTAATTACAAGGTGAGAGAAAATAAATCCACATCCTCCTACTAAACTTATTTTATTTACTTTTCCATGTTGTACATATACTTACTTGTATTACATGTTGAACTACATGCTGATATATCTTCCCCAGCCTCAAGGAAATACAATAAAATAAATGGATTCATAATTTCAAAAATTAATAAAAATTAATAAATTAATAATGTTGTGTGCAAACAATTCAAATTTAAATATTATTTTTTTTACTTTTGAAATGATTTCTCGCAAAAACCTTTCTAAATTATAGTAAATTATTAAAAAAGGTTTAGTCAATATACGTTTTTCTGCCTAAAATAGTTGAAATTGAACGTAAACTATATCAAACACCACATCCATGGCAATTAACCAATTTTTGACCGCTATTTAAATTGACTTTGGATGAAGTTAATAACAATATATAGATAGCATTTCACTGATGCAGTCTTTCTGAACACTTTTAAAATAAAATACTGCAAATGAAGAATATTTTAAATGTTCTGCACAGATAGGCCTTAACTTACAGCAGATGAAAAGATTTGTGGAAGGATACATTCTTCATGGGCTTCAATGGCTCTCTAGATAAAGGGCGTTTTATGGTTGCTTGTATTTTCCTCAGATAGTGGTTTGTTTAAAAAACTAGTGACATTTTAATAAATATTTCAAAAAAGGGCTCCAAAAAAGGCATATATATATATATATATATATATACTGTATATATATATATAACCTGGCCGGCTTAGCCAGTGTGTATTTCTTCAAGCACCACAAGATTCAGAGTTTATAAAGTACAGTTCTGGGCCATTGATTGTGTCATTTCTCCAAACACATACAGTAAAAATGCCTGTTTTGAAGCCTTCAAATGGGGCAGGAAAAGGACTTTACATTGGGTTATACTTAAAGACAGGACTATTCAGTTAAGAGAAAAGAAAAAAGGAAAGCAAATTGTTATAATGGGTGATGTAACATTAATGACAGACATAATAGTGGATTTTTCCACCTAGTATAAGACATAGAAAGAGGAGAATTTGTTAACATGAAATAAAATATAAATATACGTATTACTAGATATAACAACCACTAGGTTAACAGAAAATTGCTATTAACCAGTTTCAGCTGCAACTATCCTATCTTTGTTCGAAAGAGAACATACGTTGCATTTACAATTAATATTAAGAAAGTTCACAATTGATTAATAATTATAATAGAAAGAAAACATAGGCCTACTCTTGAGTCAATGTGCATTGTTGTGATCTGTTAGTATGCTCTCTGCTGGTTTTTACTGTTGTTCTAAGTAACAGTGAGATTTAAAATATTGGACAATATGTGGAGATTTTCTTCTTGTGTGAAATATATGGAGCTTGAAATATGTGAGTATTTCATTTATAGGAGAAAATGGTTTACTGAAGGAGTTGTTTTGAGTAAATATGTTACAAATGGTTGAAATAATGTTTTTACGGACTTCTGTAATATCATTAGGAGACATTCATTTTGGCATTTAACAACCAAGACAGATAGTATGATTAGAAAAAGACAGAGTGGAAAGGGTTGGATTTATTTAACCTCAGTGTGCTAGAATTTCTATAGGTAATGCGTCCCGAGACCTGGACTCTCTCTCTCGGCCTGTCAGACGGCTAAGACCCCGACCCGCCTGAGCAAACAAAGACCTATCCCAAGCAGAAGACTGCTCCTTCTCAATAGACCAGACAGAGAACCAGAGCTGAACCAACAACAACAACAACAACAACAAGACTGCATCCAGAACAATCTCCACCTGTGGCAGCCAGAACCAAAGCTCCATAAAGCAGCAAAGACACTGTAAAGGAGGAGATGAAATGCAAAGCAGTACAAGAACAGTGGCATGATGGGGGCTGCAGATGTAACTGGGCAGATGGCTGCCTCAAAGAGTTACAGCGAATGGATTCAAGAGCTGATGGACAAAGGGGGAGGAGTCAGAATCAGAGGAGTTGGTCGAGCAGAATGTGCGGAGGCCGGGGTCACGGCTCGAGATAAACCAGAGGAGACGGGAAGGGAATCAATCGGAATGAGTGAGTTTGCACATAAACACACTTATTCAAATTAAAAGAACCAAATTTAAAGAAATTGAATTGACTTGATAAATAAGTAAAGATAACAAGTTGTATTACCCATGAATTAATCAATTGGTAAATAAAAAATAGCAGTAAAGAGGAAACTATTAAAGTAAAATGAGGAAATAAACCTAAACACACTGAGGGTACTGTGGGATAAAGGGGAAGACATGATGGAAATATTCACTACACTTTAAGCAGTGGGTGTTTTGGAGTTAGGAGTACAGAGTAGAACATATTCTTCAATCTTTTCATCATGTGGACAAATTATTCTTTTAGAGTTTTTATTCATGTGTGAATTTGGTAGTGTTTTACTTTGTTACAGTATTGATCAGTTCAAAGGGAGAGTTTTAGTAACCACTCTATAAGATCAGACAAATATTTATTTATATAGGTCATGTTAAAGGGAAAGCTAGTTCTAAGCAAAATAATAGTATTTCAAGCTGAGGTATTGGTTTCTCCATTGTGGCATATATTACTACAGGAGAACTTTTTATGGGAAATAACTGTTGTTTGTCGTTCAAAATATAGAGTTTAAAATTAAAATAAAAACAGCACATTTAATTTAAAAAAAGCAATTTCATTGGAAATAATGTGGGGCCTTCAAGCACCCATTGTAATGGTGCATATTGTTGACGACCAATAGGGAAAAGGGGTCACTCGACCCACCCTGCAGTGGTTTTTAAAATCTTACTTGCAGCTTCACAGGGAGCGCACGGCACCAGATTATGAGTTTAAAAGACAAGCGTCACCACCTCCTAATGGACATCCATTTAATTAGTAATTAACTGACATTTAGAGATGTTAAAAAGTAAAAACATACCTACCATAAGTAATCATTCCTAAATTCAACTACAAACCATTGATTAAATGACTTCTGTTTTTAAATCCTTGATAAAGGAAGGAGTGATTGTTACATATTCCGACACCCAAGGTTCCACGCACTGTTAGGGAAGTTAACATTGTTCTTTAAGTGGACCAGATTTGAAGATAAATGAATATGAGTTATGAAATACATAGCAGAGCTTTACAGATCCTAGTAATGGTTTGACTCAAGATAATAATTATATGCACAAGTTTCTGAAATAGATCTATTAGACATTTTAATATAGATTAGGTGTTAATAAACTCAGTAGTAGTACTATGAGGAAGTGACATTTTTGGCTAACACTTTTCAGGGAATGTGGGAAGCAGCTGTCTCAATGAAAAGTTAGAGATATCTTGAACATTATAGTTGTAATTATGAATTAATAAATGATGGCGCTCCATATATGACAGATTTTTGTAGACAAAGGATACTGGCCTATGCTGAAATATCAAAGTCTCTGCAGAGCACGACACATGGCCAAAAAGACTGAGACCAAATGACCTTTGACCCTGACCGACAGTGTTACTTGAGAAGGCACTGTGAATGACTGACTCTGGGGTGAACCTGACCAAACTTGACTTTACAACCTGACAGTGTGAGTGTGAGTGTATGTCTGCATGTGATCAGTGCAACTGCATGATTTAAAACAATGACTA